CACACACACACACACACACACACACACACCTCCTCTCAATAACAAAAGAAACAGGAAAAATTAAAATACACAAATAAAGGACAAGCTATTTTCTAAGAACGGTGGCGGCAGGCACATCGCAAGGCAAGGCAAGGCAGTCCTATAAGGCCGTTTGTCATTTCGACGCGGCTACTCTAAACCCGTTCATTACCGGTGGGCGTCGCCTCGCGGACACGCCCCCTTTTGAAGCGTCGGTGAAAATTTACTGTCCTGGGGGGCGGGGCGCTGTGGGTTTAATGAAGGGTGGGATTTCAAGGTGTCGGCGGGGACAAAAGACGAGAGACGATGCTGGTCGGAGGCCATTAAACTCGGAGTGATGGGCGAAAAATGTCCGAGCGGTCCCAGAATGAGAAATAGGGAGAGGTGGGAGTGGGAGGGGAGGGAGGATGGGGCCTGAAGGGGAGAGAGAGAGAGAGAGAGAAATTGAAAAGGGGTGGGAGTGTAATTAGAGAGAGAGGGAGAGGGGAGTTAATGGGAGTTGTAGTAATAATGTGAGGCAGAGAAAAATACGGCAGAGAGGGAGAGAAAGAGAGAAAGAGAGAAAGAGAGACAGACAGACAGACAGACAGAAAGGCAGATAGGGAGACAGACAGACAGACATGTTTCGTTTGATTTTTGTTTGTTTGTTTGCTTCAATAACATTTTTACTGTACTTCTGTACTTATAACACAAATATATCATAATATGAGCACTAAAGACAAGATAAGTCATAGGAAAGGGACATACACTAAAAACAAGGCGTAGAAAAGAAGTTGCAAATCTCACCAGAGCAACCTTCACCCACCCACTCTTTGGATTACTCAGCAAACGTCGTGCTGATTACACTCGAAGATCCTGTTTTTCATAAAGTTCATCTTTCATGTCATCGTGTCTTGTTCCTCTGTTTATTGTAATCTCACTTAACGTAACAGTGTATAAAGAAGAAAAAAGCTATGCTGTCGGCTTGGTTAAGATCAAGATGATTATTTATTGGTGCACAACACGCAATCAACGGAAGGGAAAGAGAGACAGAGAGAGAGAGAGAGAGAGAGAGAGAGAGAGAGAGAGAGAGAGAGAGAGAGAGGGAGGGAGAGAGGGGGGAGAGAGAAAGAGAGAGAGAGAAAGGGAGAGAGAGAGAGAGAGAGAGAGAGAGAGAGAGAGAGAGAGAGAGAGAGAGAGAGAGAGAGAAAGATAACGAGAGAAAAACGAGAGTGAGAGGGGAAGGGAATAGAAAAAGAGAACGAGAGAGAGACAGATAGACGGAGCGAGGCGACCGAGGGAGAAAGAAAGAACGAGAGAGAGAGAGAGAGAGAGAGAGAGAGAGAGAGAGAGAGAGAGAGAGAGAGAGAGAGAGAGAGAGAGAGAGAGAGAGAGAGAGAAAATGCGATTTAATTATAAAATGAAGGAACTAAAACATTCTTTGGGTACCAGAGATAAATGTCCTTATATAGTTCCAAGGTCACGACCTGCAGGAACTCAGGTGCAAAGACATGTACCTTGACTTACAAATAATATTCCGTGTTGAAAGCAACAAAATTGTTAGATATGTATTTTAAAAGAGAGACTTTCGGAAAGGCCTTATTATTATGCCATAACTGCAGGTATATGTAAATTATGTCCTTCGTTAAATTTGCTGTGGTGTTCATGTGCCTGAGAAATTTTCGCATTGAAAGATATGTTTTTATTTGAGAGTGATGTTTTTTCTGTGCTCATCGATACGTATTACGTTGCAGAAATGATTATTTGAATTTTTGTTCATATGTCTGTACATTTGAAAATCATTTTTATTTTCTTATTTATAATTCGCTCAAATGTCTAAAGGACATTATACAATGGCTTAATAAACCTTTTGCTCGGAACATTGACACACTCCTATACAATACAACCCCGACCCCCACACCCCTGTCAGCCTTATCCGTACCCAACCTCAAAAATATATTTAAATTAAATCAAACAAGAAAACAAACAACCAAACGCAAGGAACAGACGCGCATACTTTAAACAAATATATTTTGAAAAGAAAAACAACAGCAGCAACACAAACATAAAACACCAGAGAAAGAAAGAGAAACCAAAACCGAGAACAAAAGCTCAACATCTAAAGAAAATATAACGAAAAAGTAAAAAACAAAAACAAGACTTTTTCACCTCAGCCACTCTAGACAATGCCCTAGATTCCCTGGCGCCACCACCTAAGTGACCTGGGTCATTAGGGTACCAGATAGAATAGCGTCGCCGTGATGCAATAAATGACAGGGTCAAATTGGAGGAAACCGGAAGCGACCCTGAGTAGCCTAAGGCAGCAGTAAATGAGCTTTTTGCGTGCTTGGCACGTCTGACGCCTCAGCCCTTTGCACACAGTTCACTGTCCCCTGTCACAACAGGCCAGCCTCTTCGTTGTCTATTTGTTTGTGTGTTTTTCTTTTTTACTTGTTGAATAACACAAACTCTATTGCGTGTTGTCCTTTTGTTCATTTCTTTCAATCGATCCATCGAGAAAATGCAGTGTGTTTCAGAGTAAACCAAAAAGAAGTGTGTGTGTGTGTGTGTGTGTGTGTGTGTTGTGTGTGTGTGTGTGTGTGTGTCTGTGTGTGTCTGTGTGTGACACAGAGAGAGAGAGAGAGAGAGAGAGAGAGAGAGAGAGAGAGAGAGAGAGAGAGAGAGAGAGAGAGAGAGAGAGATAGAGCGAGCGAGAGAGTTAGAGATTAGATGGACAGCATTTCGAGGTGTTTTAACTATAGTCACCGATGTCACAATAGAGCTACACACATTACCTTTGCGTGTTTGATTGTGTGTGAATATGAGAACGTGTGTTTGAATGCGAGTGTGACTGAGATAAAATGGGTGCTATATGACTGGACACATTGACTGTGAAAAATGTCATTACTCCACGTGTGTAAAAAAGTAAAAAAACAAAAGCATAACAACAACAACAATCAAGAGAGAGTATGATTTAGCCTGTGAAAGACAGTAACGTAAGGTTTGTCTAGAGTTAGTGGTTTATATGTGCATGTGTGGAAAAGTCAGTCATGACTCACCAAGGATGAAGCCTATGGAAGCAAGTGTCATCATTGGCGGAGTCGAAGCCTTTGCACGTCAGACACGCATATTTTGTATTTGTTGAAGTTGTCTGGGTTCATGTGACTACTCATGGCTCACTTTGTTTCTTTCGCTCTGTCGTTCAGTTTTATTTATTTTTTTCTGATGATGAGGGCATTTATTTCAAAATTGTGTCTTTTTCTTTTCTTTTTTTTCTTTTTTTTCTTTTTTTAGGGGGGTGGGGGGGTGGTTGTGATAAGGGGTTTTCTGTGGGAACAACAGAGGAGGATATTTCACAGAAAACGGTCAGGTGAAGAAGAGAGAGTGAAAAATAGATTGATTGAGGAACTAAATTTGAAAAAAAAAGAATAAAAGGTCCTGGCGGAATTGTAGATAGATAGATAAATAGATAGAGAGATAGAGACAAATAGATAGAAATATAATATATAGATAGATATATAGATAGATAGACAGACAAATAGACAAACAGACAGACAGGCAGACAGACAGACAGACAGACAGACAGACAGACAGACAGACAGACAGACAGACAGACAGACAGACACAGAGATAGATAGATAGATAGATAGATAGATAGATAGATAGAGACAAAATAAGATTATACATAGACACAGACTGATTAGACTGCTTTTCGTTCTTTGAAATCTGAGATTGATTGTTGATTTGAACGTGGAAAGGGAGGAAGAAAACGAAACACACAAAACAACAGTTAAAGAGTTGACAAGGAGCGTGAAGTAGCCTTATGGTGGCTCTTCCCACTACCTTTAAAGCTGCTGTGCGCAAAGGTCTGTGTTCTTCGTTGTTGTTCTAAGGAGAGCGATCAAGTCGAATTCACACTTGACAAGATTAAGCACTCACTCATGGAACCAGAAAGGTCAGAGTGTTGTTTTGATTGCCATGGGCAGATACAAAACGTCCTCCATCTCCCCCGCCCCTCCAAGAATCACAAAAGAACACCCATAAAAACACAACAAACTAACAACCCCCCCCCCCCCAAACACACACTCACATACACAAACACACAACTTATGAAAACAAAAAAACAAGGAAAACTAGCAGCAGGAAGGAAGCCAGACTTATGGCTTTCTCTCGCCAAACCAAACTTTATTCCTTCTTTACCCTGCGTGGGCACGATTTCCCGTTTTCTTCTTTTCTTTATGTACACGATCAAATCTGAAGACTTCGCCGGAAGGCAGAAAGACACAGAACTCTTGAGAGAATTAATAGCGTTCAAATAGGTCACAGTTTTGTCACCTCCTATTCCATAAAAATAAGCTTTTCTAATTTCCTGTTTTAAAAGCAATGGAGCCAGGAGATAAAAATTGTCAAAAATAAGATTTCCTTGACCTTAGCTTAGGTCATTTTATTTTATTTTTTTCCCGAATAATCATAATCCCGACCACTGTCTTCATTTCAATTTAAGATCATATTGGAGTTTTTCTCTATGTAGATCTAATTCTAATGTTCCCAGCCATTTCGTAAAATTGCGTGGGTGATTGGAGGGCACCACTGGTAGGTCCTACTTCTTTACTTTCCCTTCTGTTGTTTGTCCGTCTTTCTTACCCCCCCCCCCCCCGCACAAAAACCCATTATTTTGTCGATGTGCTTCTCTTTACTTAACAAAAATTCGTAAAACGTAAATTCGTGTCATGTAGAAAAAGACGAGGTAATGTGAGTACTCGTAGGGTGCACACACACACACACACACACACATGCACAAATACGCACACACATGCACAAATACACACACAGACACACACACACACACACACATTCGACACCTGAACGTTCGCACCCCCCCCCCCCACACACACACATTATCATACTGTGGTATCTGCTGAGTAACTAATTCCCCTACAGACAAACCAAGCCATTCAGTCAGCTAACTACTCATCCCAACGCTCTCTCATTCACAGTCTGTCGGTCTTTCACGCACGTTTTGGGGTACTTGTGAAAAATGCTTGAAGTATCCTAATAAGTAAATAACACAAAAACATTCTGTTTTAGCTCAACACGGAGTAAAATAGATCTACCTTAACAAACAAGATTACGGCCATCGCTGTGCAAACATGACAAAGCCTGAGATGAATGAAACGAAAATTAAAAAAGCTTCTGAGGCGAACTTTTAAAGGAAGTCATAGAGCGCTACTTTCATCACTTGCTACTTTGCCTCCACTGAAAAGAGAAGGCGATTTTTTTTTTAAATATGGGTTTTATGACTTTAACGTTCTCTTTAAAACATTACAAACGTTTATCCCAGATGGCAACCCGGTCAGCGGAAGCCATCTTGGATGTATAATTTTTCATAGAAATTGAAGTTATCTCCTGTGATGTTTATTGGCTCATTTTGTTATCTTCTGTTTTCCTCAGTTCCCGTGCACCCACAGTTGTACCGAGAGCGAGACCTTCAACTCTTCCCTCAACTGGAAAAGCTACAGCCTCGAGAGTTCCGTCTTCAACTTCCGCTCCTATCATTCCTATTTCCCCGTCCATGTCTCCATACTCGACAACCCCTGGCTTCCACACGGACTTCTCCGGCGAAAGGCTATTTGGAGAGAACGGTGATGATAAGGCACATCCACATCCCCCCTCGTCATCATCTTCAGCATCATCTTCGTCTGCTGCTGGGACCGACGCCTTTTCGACAGAGGACGAAGGGTTAAGCGGCACAACAATGCCCTCATTTTCGGATCCAGTCCACAGCAAATCGAGCCAAAGCGACCCCGAGGCTACAAATGACATTGACCCGACGCCGGGATACCGTCAGTGCAAACTGGCTAATCTCTTTGGCCCCTCATGTAAGAAAATTATTGTTTATCATTGTTTTATTCAAGCTAGAACCGTTTCTATTAATACTGATTTTATGCACTTTAATTCTCTTAAGGGGGGGAGGGGGCTGGCTACACCTGAAGGCGATCTCGCTTGTTAAAGGACCAAATTTTACCAAATTTCGTACATATAACTAGCACAGTAGGGAGTCTTAAAATCCACAATCAAATTTGATAAAAAAAGGTTCGTTCCCATGGATACGGCGGCCATATTGGATTTTGTTGATATGCCCTTCGTAATGAATACCGCACTATTTTTTATGGATATTTTTTGGGGGGGGGGGGGGGGGGGTTCATGCATGTTAGCAAACATTCGATCTAAAAATCTGTCCAATTAATTTTTTTTCTTAAACAAATAAGACGATTTTTAATGAATTTTTTCGTGAGGTAGCATTCAAGTTTACAAAAAATCCGTACAAATCCATACTCCGGACACCACCAATAAAAATATATTTCATATATCAAAAATTCAACCAAAAAATGTTTAGTATTACATTTTGTTTTCATTCTGTGAAAGGTTCATGAAGATTTAGTAAAAAAAATGGTGGATTTTTTTTTAAAGTATAGAGAAAAATTGGGTTTTGAGAAAACAGCCGATAAAGAAAATTAAAATATTTTGGACTTAATGACAAAATGGTGGTGACAAACATGCTCGGTAGGGGAAGAAATAAGGCTTTTGGGTGTTCTTATGCTATGAAAAAGTTGTAGGAGAGGCTGAGGAAGCTAAAAAATGCCTACAACTCAAATTGCATAATTTGAAGCTGAATCGGGACTTTGGGGTATAGCACCCCGCCCTCCACCCCCTAAATCGTTTTCTTTCGCCCTGTCTCGATATTTCTTTTCATTTTCAACTATACGGTTTATGCCTTTTAACTTGACGCTGACAGAATTGAAAGAAATTCATACCGTATTATCTTAAGTTCTTTTGTTTGAAGGAAATCTCTACTACTACTACTACTACTACTACTACTACTACTACTACTACTACTACTACTACGGGCGTATTGAAAAATAAACATCGTCATGCTTGTTCTCAACGAGTAAGCATGACTTTGCTTTACTGAACTTGATGAACTCTCTCACCTCTGTTCATGACATTCAACAAGGTTGTGTGACTTTACTTAGCTTCTTGGCAGACGTTGTGAAAGGTGTTGACACCAGCAGATTGATTGCAGATGTGTTTAAATTCACCTGTTTCTGTGAGTTTGTTCTTGCACTTTTCGACCCTACGTTCTTTATTCGTCAATTTATTTTTCTGTCAATAAAACATACATTCCGTTAGCTCTCTTTGAATCACGCTGGACAACGACACGGGTTGTCCTGGTTCGAATTCTTTACGAGGTGCCGAATGTACGATTTGTGATTGGAGAACCGCAATGAGTTTTAGATCCCAGCAACGGGATCATATCCTTACTGTTCTTTATGACCAATGCATACCACTTCTCGTTTGAAAGATGGCATGGGGTCTCTCGTGGCCTAGAGGTTAGGGTGTTGGCCTCTCATTCAAAGGTCCCGGGTTCCAATCCGGGTAGTGACCGAAAAGTTTTCTTCTCTAAATTTGTCTCCTTTCACCTCCTTTCCTGCTCTCTAGCAATGTTCTGTCGTCTGCTTTCATCTCCTATTTCTGCCCCCACTCCCTCAGCTCCTTTGCCCCCCTCCTCTGGGCTCTTGATTTTTTCTACAGCCTTTCTACTGCTACTCCCTGGCTTCTTCTTACTGCTGTCTTTCAGCCACACCTCTGATCTTCTGGTAGGAAAGATCAACACCTAGCCTTCTCAGACAAGGGCGAAAAATCTCGGAGGTCCTGTGTGCAAGTTGCGCACGTTAAAGATCCCTTGGTGGTCTAAAAGCGATAAGAATAGGCTTCTGCGCCATCCGGACAAAAATTCAAAATTTCCTACCAACTGAAAAAGTTTAATGTGTCCCGCGCGCTCATATGACCTTATGCAGTTGCGAGCGCCGTAAAACACTTACAAAAAAACCCAACCACACACCAAAAAACAAAGATGGCATCGACTGTACAACTGCTTCTGGTGGATCAGTGTTGAGTGCATTGGCAATCAACAAGTTTCGGCATTTTATTATCAATTTGTTTTCTTTTCATCTTATATAATATATCCATCCACCGAGGGTAAACATTGTGAATATGTTTTCTAAAAAACCTACATTCGCAAATATAGCGGGGCCTAATATGATTCCGTTACAACATATTTATTTATCATTCTGATATGATTAAAAGCTCTCTAATACCCTTCAGTCTCTTAGAGGGCACACACTCATCCATCTTTTGAAAAGAGGTGTTACTGTTTAAAGTAATTTTATCTTGTACGAGAAACGATCTATCAATTACATTCAGACTGATTTTGTGAAAGTCGGTCACCCTTAGCTCGCCGCAGGACGCACCTAAAACACTTAGGGGTGAAGGAAACAATGGGAACATAAAGGGGAAAATAAAACTCTTTTCGCGCGAGCTAGTGAAAAAAATGCATTGACTAGTGATCACCGACAGTTCGTCAAGTTTATTACCTGTTATTACTTTTAGGCCTTACTGATCTTTCAATTCACCCGGTGCTCTTCTAAAAAGTATAGGGTGATAAAAAATTGTTATTTCAATTGAAGAATGAATGAAAATCAATTTGGTTTTCTTCAGGGTAGTTTGAAATAAAAATCCCAGGGCAACAGAGGTTGCAAATGTCCTGTAGCAAATTGTTTCAACCTAAGAGTTTGATCTGCGAATTATTTGCACTAAAAATCTGCAACCAGTGGCCTTTTACAAGATCAAAGGTTTTATTTTTATTTCGCGTTATTAGACGAGAATTTATATACGCGTTTCCACATTAACAAACGTTGTTTGGCAGTGCGGTGTTCTTTGGGGACTTTAAAGCACTCTGGACTCCTGGCGATTTGATTTTTATTTAAAACGTTTTAATGTTGACTGAACTCACAGACATCAAGCTAAGTTTCAAAATCGTGAAAAGTAGCAGTGTCGGTGGAGTTTACAGAGCTCCTTGAACTCGGTTCATATTGAACTTGTTTGTTCAAGGTCTTGAGCACGATGTTAACTAAAGGGAAAAATAGCTTGTTACTATGTTTGTTTTTAAAATAATTAAACTTATTAAAGCATAACCAGCTTCTCTTGTCGTTCTTTACTAAAGAGCACATTCCTACTCTGACTGTATTCAGAGGGTCCTTTCTCTGGTCTTAAACAAAGATCAGGACGACTAGCCAACGACAGACAGACGTAAGCCTTTTTTTAAAAATAATTAAGAGTAAAACACTTTGAATTTACCCCCCCCCCTAAAATACAGCATAACCAAACAATCTATGGCAGTTAAAGATATTGACCTAAAAGAAAAAAAAATTACACTATGAGCTACCTTTGAAAATTCAAATGATTTGAACTTGACAACTAGACACTGACGTCATACATACTACTAATAATAATAAGTAGGAAGATCTCTTCAGTCATTAAAATAAACGTTATTCAAGGGGATAATACTTTGTTATCCTGAAATCTCTTTTTTTAAAGTCCATGTTTACGTTTGCGCCAACCATTTAACAATTTAATAAGGAAGATTTAAGCCAATAAAACATTCAAACATGACAGAAATACAAAGTAAATTAGCACTCGGGGATTAAGGTAATTGGTAACCTTGAATTAGAAAGCCTTTCCTGTCTGCTACAACGTCACGATTTTGCCTACGCCTAATTAGAACTTTCGTGTACAACTTAATGCCCAGTTATGTGTGGGAAGAGAACAGACAAATTACCTGTACAGTCAATCCTCGTCCACCACCTCCCCTTCTCCACGAATGCACTCCCCCCCCCCAAACACATACAGACACACACATACACGTACATGCACTCACACACACAAACACACACACATTCACACACACACACACACACACACACACACACACACACACACACACAGTTTGCCTGTCTGTCTGTCTGCCCCCCCTCTCTCTCTTTCTCTCTTCTCTTTCTCTTACTAACTCACATACGCACACACAGACGCACATACATAAACACATTCATATTCACACATAAGTCCTTCCAGTTTTGCGTCATTCTCTAAAGTCAATGGCTTTGGTTTTGTATAAAATACTGCCTTTATCGGAAGTTAACTCTTCAATTCGTTTCATGAGCGCAGTCCTTTTTAATCCAAAGGAGAGTGTTCTAACAATGGGTATGAATTCTTACATAAAGATTCATGGAGCGGTTTAGATATGTATTATAACCTTGTTTACCTTTTACCGGATGATGCATAAGAATTTCACTGGATGTAAAGAAACTTTACAATCGTTGAAACGTGGCAATGAAACATTGGGAACTTCAAATCAATGGAAGTCCTAATGTATTATTTCTGTTAACATACTTTTTAGAATGTAAAATATGCGACAATTCGTAAAAGCATTCGATCTAGACATGGGATGAAAATCATATAATCTCAAAAAATTAAATATGTTGCTCGTCTCTATTTGCATTCAAGTAAATTTCCACTTTTGTTAGATTATCTTTTGACAAGCTAAGCATACATATGTAGAAAATCTACTTAAGTTCAAGAAATAGAAAAGAAAAGAAAATCGGTGGTAAAATGACGGTTCGATAACGTTTGTTCTTTTTTTTTTTCAACATTTGGCGTCGACATCATAAGTGCAAATATGCATTATTCGCCAGACAGTTTCTAAAACGTAACAATGCTAAGAGTGAAAGAGAAAACTGATGGATAGATTTAAACCTTCGATCACGAAATTTGTTTGCACCCTTTGTAATATCATATCAACATAAGGATGAAAGACTAAGTGAACGAAAATCCCCTTTTGAAATAAATAAAAGGACGGTTTATTTTTGCTCACGTAGACATAAAATATTGATAGCCGGGTGTACTTATTTAATCAGCCTTTCTTCCGCAACAACGTTTGATCTATATGACCTTGAATCTCACTAGTGCGCAAGGGGGGAGG